TTACTTGAAGTGAGTAATTCATTTTTTTAAATTAAATGTGAAGCTTTCTTAAAGAAACAAAATATTTACTTACATGAAGAAAACAATTTATTTCAGACAAATAATTAGTACCTTTTAATATTATAATTTCACGAAATATATAGTGATTGAACCAAACAAATGTTTGCTTGTTTTAATACTATGATTTATTTATTTTAATGTTGTTAATTACTTGATATTTGGTCGGGAAAATTAAATTAAAAAACGTTTATTCCAATATTTTTTATTTGAACAAAACAAGTGTACACAGGAAACAGGAAGTTCCTTGAAGCAATACTAGTATATTACCAGTGGTATTATTCCAGAAAATGAAACCTTCAACTCGCTAGAGATAATGTTTTTAGTGCGTTCCACTAACTACTTCAAGTATTGACAGCTGTTTCCACCTATTTAAGGTCTCTTTAGTATCGAACAACTTGTAGTGTCACACCATAGACGACACCAAAGCAAAGGATTACCTAAGTTTATATATTCTTCATGTAAGTCAACAGAGGCGAGATTTAAGAACATCACGTGATCCACAAAAATATAAATATTTATGGGTCAACTGGGTTAAATGAACTATTCCTTTTTTTCTGGGTAGGTGCACTTCTCAAATATTTTTAGATAAACACCGTTTTGGTGTTCATTTTCAACCCTAATTCATGGTGTTATATTAACACCACTTGGTGTTGGATTTTGACACCATTTTAGGATTACTCTTCACACCGTAGATATTTTAAACAGTGTAGGTACACAAAATTTTAATTAACTAAATCACTTTTACTTACCAACAAAACTAAAAAGCAAATGGGTTAAATTATTTTCTTTAAAGAATTCTTCCATACTATTAAACATAAGCACTGAAACACAAAACTATAACCGTTGATTAAACACCTCCTTAAGGAAATAAAGAGAATTCTCTTAAGTTAAGAGTCTTCACGCAAATGCTGCCGGCTGCCGGCTGCCGGATAAGCGTCTTTGTCTTTGGAGTCAAATGCTCTAATTGGCTCCGCGAGTCACGTGGACATAAAAGCAAATAAATATGTATTTGTTTCAAGTAAATGTATTTTTGAAACAAACAAATCACGTGTTTACGTTAATTATATAACATACATTGTATCAATTCTATTATTTTGTTAAAATAAGATATTATATGCTTGTATTAACATTTGATAAAACTAAATCCATACAACCTATATCCAAACAATTTAATTAATTGCTCTAAATAAATATTTCTTTACAATTAATCACAATAATAAGTTGTTTTCAAGAAACTCATGATTTACAACCAAATAATAGTATTTTCTTATTGTAAACAAGAAGTTACTACGAATAAGACAATTTTACTTCATACAAGAAAAACTGTTTCAAATAAATGCATTTTCTTAAATCAAGAGATTACTTTTCTCTGTGCAACACCAACTAATTTGGAGACTATCGACCCCCAAATAACTTTCTGATAAGGGAGGAGTTATGTGAGCCACCACTAATTTGTTTAGTTAGCATTTTTAGTTTCTCATTAAAAACTGCAATTACATATGTAAAGATTATTCTCTGTTTGCATTTCATATTGTACGTTACTCTGCCATTTAGTTGTAAAATAAAAATTTGTCTTTTAAAATAAAAAGTGTTTTTTATTAAGTAAAAACTTAACTTATATCTAAGTTTCATGGCAACCTTTAAGGATATATTAATTAAGGGAACATAATGTATACGACAAAGGTTAGATTAAAAGTTTGAACGTTTATTGCAACAAAACAGTAAAATATATAAAAAAAATTGTAAAAACCTTTTTTTTTTAGTTATGCAAATATTAAATATTTAAATTACATCGCTACAGCCAATTAAAACAATTTAAACCGTCAATTTTTTTTTATTTTGCTCTTAAAATTTTAGTTATGACCTAATTAACAAGAATATAAAAAAAAATTTGGTTTCACAGAAAGTCCAAAAATCACCTCTCAGAACAGCACCGTGGTATTGTTGTGTTCTTTGGGATCCTTTTTACAAAAAATACAGCATCTATTGATAAAATACAAAGTTATTTTTATAAACTTACAAATTTCTATCTTAGAATTCCCTTTGAATTCAACTATTTAGAGATGTGAAAAAAAACATGGAAAAAAAACTAGAAAAAAAATCGGTTTTTTTTGTTTTTTTTTTTAAATGAAATTTTGAGTAAAATGTAGAATATATTACATTTTTTATTATTGAAAATTTTGACCAAGACTAAAAAATCTGATTTCTTATTATTTGGTAGTTTCCACATTAAAAACCAATAGGAAAGTAAAACTTCTAATACAAAAAATTAAAGGATACAATTTTTTTGCGATTTTTCGGATAGCTGTATATTTGTTAAAAATGGTCGTATTGGAGCCGTAAAAAAGCAATTTGAAGCTTGAAGTTAATAGTTAGAGATTTTTAGATGAAAAACGTGCAACGCTCATTCTAACAAATACCGTAATAAAAAAAATCGATTTTTTTTTATTTCTTTTATGGTTCAAGGAATGTTCTGACCACCAATGAAGAAATGTTCTACAAGAATTTGCTATTGTTTTTTGAAAAAAAAATCCATAGGTACTCTACATAAATTTGAAAAATCATGAAAAAAGTGCTTATGGTAGCTTTTTGAAAAATCAAGCGCTGAATCAAAAATATTATATGTAGTTACTTTTTTAGGACCAAATCAAAACAAGCGCGGCCCTTATTGGTCAAATCTGTGGTTGTGGCGAGTGCATAACGCGATACTGTATTTGCATTTAATGATTGTCATTTAGTGGCTAATTTAGTCCATGGAAACATAAAAAATTAGGCAAATAGGACTAATCTTGAAAAAAAACTAAAATGTGAAAAAACCATTTGAAAAAAAACAATGAAAAAGACCTGAAAAAAAGGACCGTTTTTTTTTCAAGTCGCGTCTCTACAACTATTTAAATTTTATCAGGATATCTAACATTTTATCGCTAGAAAATGGAAGATCTTTTGTCAAATTATGCTATTTGTACAAGGTAATACCGTTGAGTGAAGAATGGTAATACATTATTTGGTTGATGGCATTTTTACTTTAAATAGAATAAATTTTTACGTACCGATTTTGAAAACCAGCTTAGTCAAAACATTTTTTGAAAAACAATGTTCAACAAATTATACAAAATTTTCTCCCATAAATTATATGTGTATTATACAGGGTGAGACACAATCTACCTAATTTTAGTCGAATGATCCGAATCTGCAATAAAAAAAGGGTGTTCCATTGGAAATTTTAAAGTTACCCCCTTTTCCCCCTATAATTAAGAAGGAGAGTATGAGGACCAATTTTAGTACTGATTGATTCCCCCCTCGAATCATTTAATTTTTATTTTAAATATTTTTTCGTAAAATACATCAATATTTTAATTATTTGATTTAAGTAACAATTCATTATTTTAGATTATAAATTTATTAATATCCAAGTAATTTTAAAGACAAAATAAAACTTAGCTCCCATGTTTATTATTTTAATACCTACTAATTGTGCATTAAATTAATATTTTTAATAAATATTACGATAATATTATTTTAATAATCCGTGTATTTTATTTTAATATTTTTAGGGGTTGGACCAAAAAAAGAATTAAAGATTAATATAAATTTCTGAAATTTTTATTTAATAATTTTAATTTGTTTAAACAACGTTAATTTAACAATTTCTTTCTTTTAATGTAGAAGTAAGAATTAAGAAATGCTTGAATGTAAATGGAGTTTAGTAATAAATTAGTACCTACTAAAAATTGTTAATTTCCTGTTTCCTGTTTTGATTCGATAATTTTTCAATTTTCTCTTTTTTCCATTTTTCACATGACCCAGAAAAAAAATCGGTTTTTTAACCACTTGTTCGGTCGGATTGTAGCTAGGGGGGCGTTTCTAAACCTATTATGTTTATTATAAAATGCTTTTTTCGACAAAATCGTATACCTAATTCCATAAATTTATATATGTAGGTAGTTTTATAAATTTCTCGTGCATGATAGTTAGAATACCGATCTACTTAAGACATTAAATTATTTCTGTATCTACGACTTTTCGAATATAATCGATATTTCTGTATTTACACAAGCAGGTATGTAAATTGAATATTAAATTCACACATCAATTCGACGCCGACGTTCCATTAAATTAATTTTCAACAAACCGCATTACGTTACATTAGAACGCCTTTAAAATAATTAAATTCGCCACAAAATACTTGGTTTCGTGTTAATCAAGTGAGTTTTTTTGGTCTCGACCAATAGGAAGTCGACATTTTAGATGGCTATGCACCACCACAAAACGTTTGCTTCGAATTAATCAAGTGACTTTTTAAAGTCTTGTCCAATAAAAATCGGTATTTCGAATTTGCAATAGGTGGCTGTGCGCAAAATTGCAAATGGAAAACATCAATCTTGTTTGGCCCCCCGACACTCGTTTTTTTCGCACGTGGGGCACAAAAATACGAACGATAAATCAATGTGGAAGACCTGTCACTCGGCTAGAAAGCCACAGCATTCTTTAATAAAAATAATAAAATACAACAATATAAAACCTCAACTTTATGAAAAATATATGTCTTACATTTATTAAATCGGAAGTATTTACTATAATATACCAAAATAACACTGGAATTACTTTAAAATTTAAATTCGAAATAAAATGTTAAGACATGACGAGACATCTAGAAGTGAATAGCTAAAGTTTGATGTGTTTAGTTTAATTATTAATTCATAGATGTCACTAACAAAATTAAAATTATTTAAAAATGTAAATTTAAGCTTTATTTTGTACAAAAAGTAATGGGTATTGGTACTTTTCTATAAATTATTATATTAATATCAATATTTTGCGAACTCTAACTTTAAAATTTGCTAAATAAATTAACTAATTAACAGGATTTTTATTTTCACAGGGTTGACAGGTGCAGTTAGGTTGGTAGTGCGTCACTGTCAAACTGTCATTAACTGTCACTAACTGTTGTTTATTTATCAAAAATGTACCAATTATCTTGAGTTTTCCTACATAAATACCTTAAATTTCCACAAAATGTCGTTTTCGTCGGTAAACATATCGGTTGAGGCGCCGATAGAAAACCAAATACAGGAAATCACTTACGATGGGACGGAAATATATCAGCCGTAAGTACGCCGGTACAAAAGTGGTGTTTTTGTTAACTTTTAACAATTTCAGGCCTTTGAGTTTGTCGGAAAGTTTGGCTAAGTATGCACAGAAGATAGATTTCAGTAAAACCGCCGATACAGACATAAAGAAAGAGCCTGATTTGAGTGAAGATGCTAAGAGTGATTCGGACAGTAAAGACGCGTTTCAATCGTCGTTATGGCCTTGGGATTCTGTTAGGAACAAGTTAAGGGATGCTTTTCAGGAAGTTTGCGTATTAGCTGATGTTTTAGCAGTCGCCAAAGAGAAAAGATACATGGTTTTGGACCCTGTACAGCAAGAAACCCAAGAGACCAAGCCAATGGTGCAAATATATGCCAGAAAAATCGCTTTGACTGGGGCAGCAAAGGTTTTAGTTACTGGTGCTGAGAGGTTGAAATCCTCGCAAACCGAGTTGGCGCGTAATAGAACAACACCTGGTTTCCACATTGAATTACTTCGCCTACGACAAAATTGGAGACTGAAAAAAGTCTCCAATACAATCATAGGGGATTTGAGTTACAGAACTGCAGGGTCCAAGTATTTGCAGAGTGGGACTTTTGAGGTTACCAAAGCAGAGGATGACGATAAAACTAATAGCCCACCAAGCAGCCCGTTACCTGGTAGTAACCCCACCCCCAAAACAAATAGTGCTTTGAGGGTGCAGATACCATCGGAGCTGCAAGGGGTTGCCTACATTGAGGTTATGTGCCAAAAAGGTCGAATTCACCAACAAGAAGATGTTTTTGTTTTATATCAATTTTATTTTTAGACCAAGAAGATTTGTGCAGTATTAATGTCAACTTGCTGGGCTCTGGTCCTACAGCTTCAAACACTGACATGCACTGGCAACAAAAATTAGAGGCCGCGCAAAATGTTTTATTTTGCAAGGAATTGTTTAACCAGTTGGCTAAAGAAGCTGTTCAACTGCAAGCTCCAATACCACATATGGTTGTTGGGAATCAAATTATGGCAACTGTTTTGCCAGGAATACAACTTATAATAGGTAATAAAAACTTTAAAAAACTTTGTGGTAATATTGTTTATTTATCAATAACTAATAGGGTTATCTAAAAAAACTATTTTTTGTGAAATTTGGCAATGTGTACATTAGCAAAAAAGCAGGTATCATTATTTTAAGTTCTAGCAGGGATTTTAGCTAGCGTTTTAAAGCGTTTAAAAAATAACGGAAAAATTGAAAAACTTATTTTTTTTGTTTTTCCCTGGGCCTTGGAAAAAATGCCTTTTTTGAAAATTTAAAAATATACATTTCAATAAAAGGATTTTTTATGTTATTTCATAACTTTGTTTTCAATCCAATTTTTCCTAAAAAAATCATTTTTTAGACCCTTTAAAACACTACTAGCATTTTAAACAAAAGAATTGGAAAATCTTCAAAAAAATTGCCTTTAGACACATTTTTTAAAATTTTCGGAAAAATTGAGCCGGAGGAAAAAATTGACATTCGCATTTTTTCCGTATTATCAGTGCGAATTGGATTTTTTTTGCAATTTCCTAATTTTTGGATTTTTAATTAAATTATCTGTGATATGGATATCTACTATAAAAATTCGGAAATTGCAAAAAAAATCCAATTCGCACTGATAATACGAAAAATGGATTTTTGTCCGTTTCCTTTTAATTTTAGAATATTATCTTTTAGTGCATTGTTTTGCCCTTATATCATTATATTGATATTTATTTTTTTATTTATTTCTTTTAAGGTTTTGGTCTAAAATTAATTATATTATCCAGAATAAAAATTATTTAATACATTTATTTAAAAAAGTAAACAAAACACTTATATAACAAAAAATAAATTCTGAACAAAAAATTATAACATTAAATTTTAATTTCAAAAAATATGATGGATTCTTTTTTTTTTCTTTGGCATTTTATTTTTATTGCTTTTATCACTGAGCAGGTTAAACGAACGAATTAAACAAATTCTAAATTTAAAAAAAAATCACATTTTTAAATTATTAACTGTAAATTTTGTGTTTAACAAAATAAAATAAATATTTAATATACAGACTATAAATTAAAGGCATATACTTACTGTGGTAAGTATATGATTAAAGCATTGAGTAAAGAACCTTACTCAATGATTAAAGGCAGTAGTAGCTCCATCTATTAAGAAAACTATATACTTTTTTAAAATTTTATAATAGATTACATTTGAAAAAAAAGCTGTTAAATATTTAATTGTAACAGTTTTATAAATATCAATGCTTATAAATATCGATACATATCGTGATATACACTGCTCGTCAAAATTAACGCATAATAAGTAAAAATTTTGTATAAAAATACTTCGAGAAAATATTTTTAAAGCCCCTTTATTTAATGATAAAAAAACGTCAAAAAATCATTTTTGGGGAATTTTTTTTTTAGTAAATAAAAAATATTCTGTTAAAGACCGTATTTTTGTTAGTATCCCTAAAAAAGTTACGAAGATACAGCGCTTCAAAGTCGGTAAAATTTGATTATTTTGCTGAAAAGTGGTCATTTTTGACGACTTTGAGGCGTTGTATTTTCGTTACTGTTTGTTTGATTTGTACATTTTCAGGGTATACTTACAAAAATACGCTCTTTCACAGCATATTTTTTATTTACTTAAAAAAAATTCCCTATAAAAGTTTTTTTTAGATTTTATAAAGATTGGTAAAGATGTTTTAGAGTTGGGTTTTTGTTACTTGTTATGCGTTAATTAGAAAGAAAAATTTGGTCGAGAGGTAGATATCTGGGTCACAAAAAAAGGATATAAATATCAAGATCACGAAGATACATTATTTATTAAATTAAATTAATTTATTTAATAAAACTATGCTTACAAAATTAAATTAAAACAATTTATGATTTTTAAAGCAATCCAACAACAATTTTTAGGATTGTGTCATTCTGCAAATGGTGAAAAAAAGCAGGAAAAACCTGCTCCTTCCAAAAGTGATCACGATCACGTTTTGGAACATAGTTTGCATCAACTGTTGAGGGAGGTTCACCATAAAAATACGCATCATCCTTTCCCACACCCTGCAACAGGGCCGCTGGGGCCTTCTAAAAAAAGGATGTTGGCTGGTATGTTAAAATTTTGCTGAAAATAGCAGAAATTACTTTCTCTACGACTACTTAAGAATAGTAACATTCTAGTGTAATTTTTGATCATAGAAAGGGTGTTTTTCTGCAATACTGTGCGAGAATATTCCCACTCTTGTTTAAGAATGGTCACAAGTATCGACATCTCCTGGCTGTTTACTAAACGTAAAAAATTTAAAAATATTTAAATATTACTGTATTATTTATTAATTAAAAAATAATAGCAGTTGTATAATTAAGGTTTAGGCACAAAAAATTAGTTATATTTATTGTTTTTCAAATATACAAATCAAAATTATAATAAATTTGATATTAAAATGATAAACCAGTTACCTACTATACCGGCTTTGAAGTTTTGACAGATTTAAAAAGTTTAAAAAAAGACCTTTAAAATGTAGAAAAAGGATAGATGTTGACATAGATTACTTGTAAAATTAGTTTTGTATTTGTTACAATGTTATTTTTTTATTAGTTAGTGTAAATAACTATTTTTAATTATAATAAAGATTTAGGCATACCATTTGTTTAAATTTATTATAATTTACATTATAAAATTGTGACGGCACAAAATGGTTTGACAATACAAAAAACTTAAATGTGAAAAACTGCTTGGTTTCTTTTCTCTGTTTAAAATTATATAAGCGTTACTATTCTTACGTAGTCGTAGAGAAAATAATGTCTGAAACACGTTTGGAATATGCTGTATTGCAAACTTGTTACAGAATGTACTATTCTCTACGACTACTTAAGAATAGTTACATTCTAGTGTAATTTTTGATCATAGAAAGGATATTTTTCTGCAATACTGTGCGAGAATATTCCTACTCTTGTTTAAGAATGGTCACAAGTAACGACATCTCCTGGCTGTTTACTAAACGTAAAAAATTTAAAAATATTTAAATATTACTGTATTATTTATATATTAAAAAATAATAGCAGTTGTATAATTAAGGTTTAGGCACAAAAAAATAGTTATATTTATTGTTTTTCAAATATACAAATCAAAATTATAATAAATTTGATATTAAAATGATAAACCAGTTACCTACTATACCGGCTTTGAAGTTTTGACAGATTCAAAAAGTTTAAAAAAAGACCTTTAAAATGTAAAAAAAAAATAGATGTTGACATAGATTACTTGTAAAATTAGTTTTGTATTTGTTACAATGTTATTTTTTTTATTAGTTAGTGTAAATAACTATTTTTAATTATAATAAAGATTTAGGCATACCATTTGTTTAAATTTATTATAATTTACATTATAAAATTGTGGCGGCACAAAATGGTTTGACAATACAAAAAACTTATTTATTTATTTGTCAAAAACTGCTTGGTTTCTTTTCTCTGTTTAAAATTATATAAGCGTTACTATTCTTATGTAGTCGTAGAGAAAATAATGTCTGAAACACGTTTGGAATAGCATATTCCACTCTCGCAAAACCGTCACACTCGCCTTCGGCTCGTGTGTCAAATTTTTCCTCGAGCGGAATATGCTGTATTCCAAACTTGTTACAGAATGTACTATTCTCTACGACTACTTAAGAATAGTAACATTCTAGTGTAATTTTTGATCATGGAAAGGATGTTTTTCTGCAATACTGTGCGAGAATATTCCTACTCTTGTTTAAGAATGGTCACAAGTAACGACATCTCCTGGCTGTTTACTAAACGTAAAAAACTTAAAAATATTTAAATATTACTGTATTATTTATTAATTAAAAAATAATAGCAGTTGTATAATTAAGGTTTAGGCACAAAAAATTAGTTATATTTATTGTTTTTCAAATAAACAAATCAAAATTATAATAAATTTGATATTAAAATGATAAACCAGTTACCTACTATACCGGCTTTGAAGTTTTGACAGATTCAAACAGTTTAAAAAGGACCTTTAAAATGTAGAAAAAGAATAGATGTTGACATAGATTACTTGTAAAATTAGTTTTGTATTTGTTACAATGTTATTTTTTATTAGTTAGTGTAAATAACTATTTTTAATTATAATAAATATTTAGGCATACCATTTGTTTAAATTTATTATAATTTACATTATAAAATTGTGACGGCACAAAATGGTTTGACAATACAAAAAACTTAAATGTCAAAAACTGCTTGGTTTCTGTTCTCTGGTTAAAATTATATAAGCGTTACTATTCTTACGTGGTCGTAGAGAAAATAATGTCTGAAACACGTTTGGAATAGCATATTCCACTCTCGTAAAACCGTCACACTCGCCTTCGGCTCGTGAGTCAAATTTTTCCTCGAGCGGAATATGCTGTATTCCAAACTTGTTACAGAATGTACTATTCTTCTTTTTAACATGCAGGTCCGATGGCGGCCGACCGCCACGAGCTGCTCGAGATGACGAGAACCGACACGCTGCTGGAGCAGATCGTCAAGCAGGCGCAGCACTTCATAATGCGCATGCGCACCGAGTACGTGCTGGACACGATCGCGAAAGAGGTCAAGGACCCGCTGATCTGCTCGCACTGGAACACGTTGAACAGCCCGACGCAGTCGTGCGTGAAGATCAACATTTCCACGCACGGCTACGACGCGGTGTGCCGCACGCCCCTCGTCATACACGTCGGCGAGAAGAGCCTGAAGTGCATCTGCCGCGACGGCAAGGTGATGAACATGAGCTACGAGCCGCAAGAGCTCAGGGACCTGATTTTCTGCCACATCAATCAGCATCAGATCCTGGCCGTGCAAGCTCTGGCCAGGACGATGGGGTGGCAAGCTTTAGGTGAGTTTTTTACGCGGAATCGCGGTTAAAACTGCACACGTTGCGAACATTTAGGTGGCAACGTCGATAAATATATTTGACAACTTCGAAAAAGTCCGGCGCGGTCACGAAAAACTATAGATTTAATCTGATTATTAAAAAACTTATAGATTATTATTTAAAGGCTAAATATCTTTTTTTTTAATTTTTGTTTTTAAATGAATTTTTTGAAAAAATAGACAACAAAATTTGACATGATCAACTATAAAATTATCGATTTTTTAATAAAATCGTTATTTTTCGCCATTTTTTATTTTTTTTCCCAAAAAAATTAATGTTACAATTATTCCAGCCAATCCCAGGTGGGCCGATTTTTTTATTTAATTGAAAAAAAATTGTCTCAAAAGTGGCTCAAACTACAATTATACTGACCAGGATTAATGATTATTACAGTTAAAAAAATTGCATTTTTGAAATTTTTTTTTAAATTAAATAAAAAAAATAGAAAAAAAATCGGCCCACTTTGGAATTGGCGGAAATAATTTTAACATTAATTGAAGTATTTTTTGAGAAAATAAATAAAAAATAAAAATGGCGAACTTTGCAAAAATAACGATTTTATTAAAAAAAGGCGATATTTCATAGAGTTGATCATGTTAAATTTTTGTCTATTTTTTCGAAAAATTCATTTAAAAACAAAAATTTCAAAAAAAAGATATCAAAAAGTCAATTTTTGAAAAAGTTATGGCTATTTAAAAATAAAAAAACTATTTTTTTGAAAAATTTAAAACTTTTTTGGGGTTGGAATACTCCATATATGTATGTATATATATATATATATATATATATTGGTGTTTGGTAAGCAGTGACTTCCGATAGGTTGACGTGGCGCCCTGACCTCCGGTGTTACCAGTTATTTTAAACGTATATATTAGGGTGCGTTTGAAAGAGGGGAAGGTCTACAATTCGGTTGTCAAAAGAGGGGAAGCATTTTGTGAAGAATTAAAATGTATATATTTGGAAGCAACTAATATACGAAATCACTTCCGCATATATATGAAAGAGTTACGGTCACGTCGTACTAACTTCCAGCAGTGTTGCCAGATATCAGAAGTTAGATTTACAACTATATTTTGTTAACTTGCGTAAAGAAATCAATAATTTAAATTAAAACCTAATACCTATTTAGGGAGAAACGTACAAAATAGTATTTTTATTATAAAAATAACCAATTTTGTTACTTACGTAAAGAAAATTATTTTATTACAAATTATCAAGTGTTCATTAATATTGACAGATACGTATTTTTTGAAGTTAAGAACAAAATTAACATTTCAAGATGGGTATCTATAAAAAGGTGTTGATAATTGCAATTAAAAAAATTATATTATTTACCCCCTCCCTAGCCCCCAGTTTATTAAGTTTCCATATTTTAAAATTAATATGTCAAGATAGGTATCTATAAAAAGGTCTTGATAATTGCAATTAAAAAAAATATATTAATTACCCCCTCCCTCCACCTAATTTTATTAAATTTTATATTTAAAAATTAGCATAACAAGATGGGTATCTATAAAAAGGTCTTGATAATTAAAAAAATTATATTATTTACCCCCTCTCTTCCCCCCAGTTTATTAGGTTTCTATATTTCAAAATTAACATGCCAAGATGAATATCTATAAAAAGGTCTCAAAATTTTCAATTAAAAAAAAATAACCCCCTGCCTGCCCCCCTATTAACAAAATGTATATTGCAAAATTAACCTGGCCACATTGGTAATTAAAAAAAGGTCTTAATAATTACAATTTAAAAAATATTATTAATTACCCCCTCCCGCCCCGTAATTTTTAAAAAATTTGTATTGCAAAATTATCTTGTCAAGATGGGTATCTATAAAAAAGGTGTTGATAATTGCAATAAAAAAAATATTTTATTTACCCCTCCCTTCCCCCCAGTTTATTAAGTTTCTATATTTTAAAATTAACATGTCAAGACAGGTATCTAAAAAGGTCTTGATAATTATAATTTAAAAAATATAATTAATTACCCCCTCCCCCCTAATTTTTAAATTTTTAATATTACAAAATTAACATGGCAATATGGTTATCAATAAGAGGTGTAAATATTAACAATTTAAAAAATTATAATAATAACCCCCTCCCTGCCCCCAATTAAAAAAAAATCAATTGCAAAATTAAAAATTTGCTCATAGCAATATGGGTACCTTAAGAGGTAATATTTACAATTTATAAAATTATAATAATCACCCCCTCCCTGCAAAATATATTGCAAAATTAACCTGACATCATTGGTAATTATTTAAAAGGTCTTAATAATTACAATTTAAAAAATATTATTAATTAGCCCATCCTTCTCCACTAATTCTTAATTCTTTTATATTGAAAAATTAACATAATATTATGTAGCAATATGGATTTCTATAAAGAGGTCCTAATATTTACAATTTAAAAAATTATATAAATTTCCCTTTTCTATTGCTTGCAATATTAACATGGCAAAATCTGTACAATGTTAATGATAATAATTTTAATAATTTTAAACTATTCCCTTCTTCTCCCCTAATTAATTTATTTTTTTATTAAAAAACATTCAAAATAAACCTGGAGCAGGTATAGGAAACAAAAAAAGCCAAATGTACGTTTGGACATATCGTCACGTTCAAATTTTTCTATAAAATAATGTTTAGTAGAAAAAATAAAGGTATATAAATAATTATTAAATAACCCGATAAGCGAATATTTTAATAAATAAGGAGGAAGGAGGGGGTTATTAATACAATTTTTTAAATTGTTATTATTAAGACCTTTTTATTGATACTCATCATGCCATGTTAATTTTGCAATTTTAAAATGTAATAAATTAGGGGGCAGAAGGGGGGTAATTAATTTATTTTTTAAAATTGTAATTATTAAGACCTTTTTATAGATACCCATCATGCCATATTAACTTTGCAATTTAATAATGTAATAAATTAGGGGGCAGAAGGGGGTAATTAATATAATTTTTTAAATTGTAATTATTAACACCTTTTTATAGATACCCATCATGCCATGTTAATTTTGCAATTTAATAATGTAATAAATTAGGGGGCAGAAGGGGGGTAATTAATATAATTTTTTAAATTGTTATTTTTAAGACCTTTTTATAGATACCCATCATGCTGTGTTATCATTGGAATATAAAAATGTAATAAATTAGGGGGCAGAAGGGGGGGAGTTATTGTAAATTTTTTAATTGTAATTTTTAATACCATTTCATAGATACCCATCTTGCCACGTTAATTCTTCAGAATAAAAGTTTAATAAATAAGGGGGGAAGGAGTGGGTAATTAATATAATTTTTTAAATTGTAATTATTACGACCTTTTTATAGATACCCATCATGCTATGTTAACTTTGCAATATAAAAATGTAATAAATTAGGGGACAGAAGGGGGGTAATTAATATTTTTTTTTAAATTGTAATTACAACACCATTTCATAGATACCCATCTTGCCACGTTAATTCTTTAAAAAAAATTATCGGGGAAGAAGGGGGTAATTAATATAATTTTTGAAATTGTAATTATTAAGACCTTTTTATAGATACCCATCTTGCTAGGTTTATTTGCAATAATAACATTAATAAATAGGGTGGCAATTATTTTGTTTTTAAATTGTTATTATTAAATCATTTTAATGATACCCATCTACTTATGTTATTTTTGTAAGTATTATTACCATAATATTATTATAGTTTAATCATAGAGAAATGTAATGTATAATGTAACATTATTAATGTTATTATAAATACTACTTTTTTATAAAATTTGCTAAATAAATATATACCATATATCAATAAAATAATTTTAAAAATTAACAATAATATTAAGGTATTTTTATAAAATTATAAAATTAATTATATCATCTGATAATTTTACTCTGATTTAATTACTGGGTTCCGAAAAGGATTAAATCTTAAATGAGCAATAATATAAATACTCTGAAATGATTAAATCTCAAAAGTAGCTAAACTATGGTTATCATTTAGAATATAAATCTTTTAGGTATTTAATCTTTAAAAGAGTAGAAGTGTTTTGATACTTTTGGGATTGAATCCTTAATGTATCGAATCACTACGAGAGCGGTATAATTTAACTCATCTGGAGAGTAATACTTCGCAGATCGAAATAGGTTTCGATCGCGAGTGAGTTGAGAGCTATTCAAAATCAGTGATTTAATTCTAGTCCCTGGAATAAAGGAAAAAAGCAGTGATTCAATGCCAAAGGCGGCAGATCTTAAATGTCTCGCAGCGTCTCAGCGCTATGAGATATTAATATCACTCTAATAATTAAAGGAATGAGAATAAAGATTTGGCAACGCCGATTTAACAAGAGAGAGTTAGGTATAGCGTGAACTGCAGGCACAACAAAGATAGTTATATTGTCATGCCCACGCGGAAGTCAAATCGTACAGTTTGTTAAATATTTGTAGCGACAACAGCGCCAGCGGTATATACCCGAACTAAAGGAAAGTTTTGTAGGTATATATGGTACGCACTGACTTCCAACCTAAAATTTGAAATAACGCTTTTTTCAACCTCTATATGACATTGCGCTAAAAAAATGCACTTTTCGTAGTGACTTCCGAAATCGGAAGTCACATCGTTATATATGAAGTCACAACGTCTAGTGAGTATCTATTTTGGAAGTCACTTGGTACTATTTATCAATATATATATATATATATATATATATATATATATATATACAGAGGACTGCATAAAAAACGGCCATTGCTGTAGCATCGTTATTCCTTATCAGATTTTCAAAATTCAAAAACCAGTTTGAATGGTATGATGTCTTCTATGATTCGAGGGTTAAAAATATTTTTTTTATTATGGTGCTTGTGAGCACTGATAGTCAACTTTTATTTTTCAAATGACAACTATATTTTTTTATTATTTTTTCGCATTTCTTATGCTTTTCTGAGCATAAAGGTATATCAATATCATAATTTTAATTATAAAACATGAAGAAAAAAAATAAAACTGCGAAAATTTTTACATATCGCAGTAGCATCAGGACACCCACAAAATGCTTACAATTTAATAATATGCGTATCCATAGTTACGGCTTTTTTCTCTGTTCATGAAATAAATGTAAATAACTAAATAACCAAACCGTTTTACAAGATTAGACACATAATTATTTTAAAAATGAATAATGTGATATGTAAAAATTTTCGCAGTTTTATTTTTTTTCTTCGTGTTTTATAATTAAAATTATGATATTGATATACCCTTATGCTCAGAGAAGCATAAGAAATGCGAAAAAATAATAAAAAAATATAGTTGTCATTTGAAAAATAAAAGTTGACTATCAGTGCTCACAAGCATCATAATAAAAAAAAATGTTTAACCGTCAAATCATAGAAGACATCATACCATTTAAACTGGTTTTTGAATTTTTAAAATCGGAAAAGGAATAACGATGCTACAGCAATGGCCGTTTTTTATGCAGTCCTCTGTATATATATAAAGTCCAAATATTTTAAGGTTAGAACATTTCCTTAACCATCGAGTAAAAAAGACAGAGGATGCGTAATGAGAACGTTGAAAATGTGAACCAAAAGATGGCGTCGAATTAAAGCACGATTGTAGGTTATGTCGAAGGAAAACGTCGAAAGATACAGGCTTAGAAAATAAACAAAAATCTAAAATTGGTTTTAAAGAAATCGTAAAAATCAACTTAAACCTTTGGTATAACTTTAAAAATTTAAAGTACCTAGATCATGAAAATTTAAAAAAAATATTAAAAAAACTGAATTAAGTTTGGACACGATTTTTCACTAAAAACAACGATTTTTCCTATTATTTTTTATAATTTGAAGAGTTTGATAAATAAATAACAGTAGGCCTTGACAGCAAATTCCGCGTTGCCAATGTAGTAAAAATAAAACATGGTCAGCGTTTTTTATTTTGAAAAACTATTTTATTATGGGTTACTTATCATTTAAAGGAAAAGGGCAAAAAAAATACTTGGGCTTAGAAAATAAACAACGTTGCCAAGTTTATTAAACTTAAATGCCTAATAACTCGAAAAACACTTGTTGGAAAATGTTTTGTAACTTTTTTATCGCTTGGTATAGCGTAATTGCTCCATTTTCGGGACCCACTGTATAAAAATCGTAAAATTACAAAAAAAACGATACTTTAATTAAGTATAAAAACACCAAAACAAAATCCAAAGTACCTAGATCATAAAAATTAAAAAAAAAATGATCAAAAAACTCAATGCAGTTTGGACACGATTATACACTAAAAACAACGATTTTTCCTATTATTTTTTATAATTTGAAGAGTTTGATAAATAAATAACAGTAGGCTTGACAGAAAATTCAGCGATGCCAATGCAGTAAAAATAAAACATGGTCAGAGTTTTTTATATTGAAAAACTAGGAACATCTTTGTATTTTCTAGGTTACTTAAATCATTTAAAGGAAAACGTCAAAAGATATACTTAGAAAATAAATAACATTGTTTTAAAATTTATGATTTATAAATTGCCTTCCTTCCTTCCTCCCGTAAAAGATGAACAATACGAAAATCGTAGTGCTATTTATAGATTCCTGTAGGCAGAGTTGGGAGTACTGAGTATTTTTTTTAATGGATTATGCTATCATTACTAATTACCCAAGCAACAATTTAAGTATTTGTTACGTATATGGGACTATTGAAGAAACTTCAAAGTGTTTTGCGACAGTCGCCGGTCTCTTTATATTACTCTTTCATTACTACGTTACGACTAAAGTGGGGAACAATTATTGAGTTCCAAAAAGGTAGCAAATATGTCACTAGCTACCAACCCTGCTACTATTTGGGACGTAGCTGCTACGTTACTAGAACGTTCCAATATCGTTGCTAGAGCGTTATAATTACTTTTATTATTTGTTTTTACTTCTATATTAACTGTCTTTGTCAAACTTATATTAGATTATACTATTCCTCCTTTTTTAAATGGAACCACTACGGACTTGGCTTTTCAATGTCGTCGTTTATTAAATATGTACTGGTAGTTTATAACTTCCAGAATAACAATATAATGTTTAATTAGACAGGTAGATTTATAAACCCTTTAAATTTTACTGTTGAACTTATGAATTTAGTTTTTGTAAAATAAATGCGCTTCATCAATATTTAAGTATAAACAAATTATTTTTTTAGTAATGTTTATAAATAAAAAAATCTTAATATTTATTATTATTTTTTTTATTTAATTATTAATACCGTCTATTACCAACAATATTTCTATTTATTAAAAAGTAAACAACCATTTACAAACAATTAAAATAATTTATTATTTACATTACCACGTGGTACTGTACAGTAAAAAATGGCCGATAAGAAGCATTTTCCTTTAAAGTAGTTTTCACTACTTTAAAGTTTTTTTCCACTTTACGGTTGTTTTGGTTAGTACCATAAACGTTCCAAATACTAAAATAATAACTTTTAAGTTATTAACTTTGTAGTTTTTAACTCATGTTCCAGTTTCGAGATTTTAACTTGCAAAGGGACTACAAAGTAAAAATAATTATAATGTAATCTTTAGGTAGCAACCGAAAGTAACTGCTACAAATTAAATTTACTTGAAAGTTTTTTTTACTTATAACATCTTTTTTAAAGTGGCAAAGTCTTCTTGGGGGCAACCAAGTTTTACTTAAATGTTTATTACTTTATAGTAACAATTTAAGGAAAAATTAAGTTTCTGTTACAAAATATTGCTATTTAAAAGTTAGAATTACTTTTAAGTAAAAATTAAAGTAGCTGTTTAGTATACTTAACTAATTTAAAGTTATCACCACTTTGGCAATGGTTTTTGGAACCAAAAATGCTGCTTGGGTATTACTTGATTTTATAATTGTAATGAGAGAAAAATATTGAGTACTTTTTATTTTTACTTTACCAATTTGATAATTACAATTTTTTTTTTATTTTGTAATTATAATCAGAGAAAATATCAAGTACTTTTTATTTTAACTTAAAATGTTTACTGATTCTAAATATTTTTTTATTTTATTTGATAATTTGATAATTACAATTTTTTTTTATTTTGTAATTATAATCACAGAAAATATCAAGTACTTTTTATTTTAACTTAAAATGTTTACTGATTCTAAATATTTTTTTATTTTATAATTAAAAAATAATAAAGAACAGAATACATTACCTATATATATATTTTTTTTTGATTTGAATAGAATGGTGAATAAGGATACTTCCGTGCTTGTTTATGTTTTTATTGCGACTAGTTTCGATCTATATTAGATCATCTTCAGGCAAACTACAAAAATATGTAAAATTATTATAAGGTTATGTTAACATAATAATGATAAAATTAACGCCGTGTCTAGAGTCCCGTCAGACGGTTCCCTATTGCGCTCCCGTTAACAGAGTGACGTCATCCAATGACGCAATCTTAGGACGGGAAGCAGATATTTTTTCCTTAACTAACGTCCCGAGTCCGCCCGCTTCGAAACCAACCCAAACCAAACAACCCAACCCAACCGACCCCGTATATACAGTATTTATAATTATTAATTAGATTTTGTTTTTTATTTTTAGTCGGTCCCGTTAAAAAATACTTCGTACTTGTATTTTCATTTATATTTTAAGTACAATCAATTTTTTACTTTGACTTTAAACTTTTTGCATTACGAAGTACTAAAAAATATTATTTATTCAAATTAATAAGTACAATTATTTTTGTATTTTTACTTTAAATCAATTTAGAGTAAAAAATACAATGTATTGATAATTTTTATTTTCTCCATTCTCAAGTAACTTAAATATTCTAATGGCAATACTTTTTAAGTACAAATTATTTTTGTATTTTTACTTTAAATCAATTTAGAGTAAAAAATACAATGTATTGATAATTTTTATTTTCTCCATTCTCAAGTAACTTAAATATTCTAATGGCAATACTTTTTAAGTACAAATCTCGCAACTCTGCCTGTAGGGGAATCAGCACAACGGTTTTTGTATTGTTCATCTTCTACGGGAGGAAGGAAAGAAGGAAGGCAATCTATAAATCAGACCTAAAGAGTAGTAAAACTAAAACTTGCTCAGCTTTTTTTGTTTTAAAAAACTAGGAACATCTTCGTATTTTCTAGGTAACTCGAATCATTTGGGCACGGGCCCAGTGGAGCTCCTAGGCAACGCCTCATCGTGCCTCCTGGTCTCCCCCACGGGGGACCGCATAATAGCGGTAAAATGCGAGCCCAACCAAACGGGAATCCAGGCCGGCATCCAGGTCTCGGTGGCCCACTCCCCCCGCACAGATTTCTTCCCGAGCCGTTTGGTCACCGAACGCAAATGGGAGCATCTGGGCGGACAATTCAGAGACGTGCGTCTCGATAAGATGGAGGGAAGGAATTTCCTGCATAAAATGGAGCTGTTGATGGCCAGTTTGACCAGCAATTTGTAAAATACGTTTATTTAAGGTTAATTTAGGTGTGAATACTTGTTTACAATAAATATTAAGCACGAAGTATCGATTTTTATTTATTTTCCTATATTTCGGCGAGTGATTAAATAAATACCATAGATAATTACTATGGATAATAGATTAATAACCTCTATGGTATGGATATAATTTAGTATAAGTTTAGGTTATTTTAAAATTTAAAGCAAGGTTTTTAAATGGATATGTGGAAATGATTATTGGAAATGGAATTATACAGGGTGTTTCAAAAACACGTCAATGCTCGGCTGGAGATTCGTCATCCAAATAATAAGAAAAAAGTTCATATAAACGTAGAGATTAGTTTTCATTAAACATTAAAGAAACTGCTTTTTTAAATATCTTAAATATGTAATACCCTTTGAATAAAATTTTAAAATTAAAAAGTCAATTTTTCTGAATAAACGGTTTTTTCCCGCCAGTATAAATAAAATGGGGCAAACGATATTTAAGATAAATATTTTAAAATAGCCGTTTTTTATATCTAAACCAAGCATTTCCAAACTAGAGGTGGGTTGCTATCGCGTAAGCTGCTATTTTTTAACAGTTATTTTGCTGAAGCAGCTATCACTGTTACCCGGTTTTAAAAAAAGCTGCTACCAACAACATAACCTAACTCCGCCGTTTGTGATCGCATTTAACGTATTGTCTGCGCACAGTGATCGATATCGCTGTTTCGAATTCCGCTTAGCGGAATCCGCTATACCAAAAAGCTGCTGACTCGGCCTTGGACAGCGCCACTGCTGTGTGATGTCGGGATTTTACTAACGGAGGTAAAGTTACAGCATTGGAGACTAATTAATAATATGTTATACACTTTAAAAATGAGTTTTAATTTGCAGCCCAGCCAACAAAGTCAAGGTAGTGCTACTAGTAGCAGAGGGTAGCGCTACCCTCTGCTACTAGTAGCACTACCTTGACTTTGTTGGCTGGGAGCCGGGTAAAAAAAATTTTAATTTTTAAACTCGGATTTTTAATACTAAAATTTATTCATATCTAAGCTATTTTTAATTTTTTAAACCTAATCATCCTAGCATAGAAAATCATTATTAACAACATTATAATTTCCAATCATTGCAAAAGATCGCGATTATTTGCTAGTAAAGATCCCTGTGACCTCTCCCTAGACGTTTGTAAGCCAAGCAGAAGCGATTCGCTAGTAGCGAATCGCTACTATAGCGCTATAGCGAACCCAAATAGCCGTTTTAAAATGAAACATGCGCAAGAAACACGCGTGCCGCTGTCAGCGGCTGTGGTCCATTCCCACGAGCACCGTTTCGGATAAACTGCTTCTTTTAAGCAGCTATTTGATAGCTGCTACTTAAAAAAAGCGGTAACTGTTTTAACTGCTACTTAAAAATAGCGGTTTTGCCCACCACTATTCCAAACCCACTTCTGCATAGGTATAAACTTTTTTCTTATTTTTGGATAACGAGCATTGGCGTATGTTTTTGAAACACCCTGTAGGCATATGGTTTTGACAGTACCAGACTGGTACTACCAGTTATAAAACTGTTTTGTTAAACTATGATACTGTACAGTGTTATATTCAATAAATAAATAAAAATTATATAATTGCTAAGCAACGTTTGTTTACCCGGTAAACTTTACCGTAAAAAATATTGACGTTTAAATCATTGATTATGGTTTCTCTCATAGATAACAAAGCCTTTCTCTCCTTCACGTTTAAATATTATCAGAAGAGGGCATTGACCTTGGGTAAATGAGTTGCTAAAATATCAAAATTTAAATGGAAAATATCGCAAAACAATTTAAAACGTAAAAATGAAACCACAACACGTTTTTTAAATCCAATTTAATCAAAATTGACTATTAATAGTTCATTTATAATTCAAATAATGATATCGGAACAAAAACAACAACAAAACATAATCCGCATTTAAAAATAAACATAATTCACAAACATTTTATACCGGCTTGACTGACCGTACTCATAAAAAAATAATATTTATGTTAATAAATCTTTAAAACATAAAATAATCGCTGTAGAATGAATAATTGTTATTATGATTGAGTTTGCGATGATTTGTTCTGTTATCTTTAGTGGTTTTGTTGTTAAATTAGTTGCGTTTTGACCGGAAATTCATTTTTGCATTTGTGCTGTGTTGCCACGTTTAATAATTGAGGACAATGACATAGTGGTTGTTTTACATTTAAATCAATTTTTATTGAGAATTGTTGTTGTTTTATAAAAGATTTTAGTAAATTATTGTAGAATAAAAGTTTTTATGTAAGTTATAAAATGTATGGATTTTAAAATTGTGTTGATCTTTATGTTTGTGCGAAGTTGTTGTTTGAAGTTGGCATCGTTGCGTTGTCCGGGCCGGCTTGGTGCGCATTATTGTAGAAGCGTTGCAAAGTAAAGAGCCAAAAGAACAAACGTTAAATTGTGTGTCAAAAAACTGGTAAACGTCGTCGATCTACGCTTCGAATTTTGGGTAACTACTTGTAAAACTAGTTCTGCGATCTACGCAACGTATTTTATTAGAGTTATAATCACCGTTTTGGCTGCGAATCACGTTTGTAAAAATTGAGACGCCCCTTCGACATTTTGTTTTTCGATTTAGCCTTTTGCGAAAATTTACCAGTCCAAGCATACAGTTTGAGTTCTCCGCTGTTCTAGTCGATTGAAATCACACAAACCAAAATGCATACCAAATTAAAAACTAGTCGTAATTGCTCCGCTATCATTCACTACTCCTACCACTTGTACCTAGCAAAAAATTGCGAGCATTCAATCAAAGTACGTATTCGCCCAAACGATTGATCCCCATACAACCCATGAGCATGAATTTAACCTCTACGAAATCATTGTACGTTCCACAGAACCATGGGCGACCGAGGAGACGATAAGGGGGCCCGAGTGTACGTCGGCGGGCTCAATGACGGCGTTAAAAAGGAAGATCTCGAGTCCGAATTCGAGAAATACGGCAAACTGAACAGCGTCTGGGTGGCCTTTAACCCCCCCGGCTTTGCCTTCATCGAATTCAATAACATGACCGATGCAGAAACTGCCTGCGACAACCTCAACGGAACAGACTTCCTGGGCAGCAAACTACGCGTGGAAATCGCCAGAGGCAAGTCCCGAAGAGGCGGCAGCGGCGGCGGCGGCGGGTTCAGGGGGGGCCGCGGCGGCAGCCGAGGGGGCTCCTCGTTCAGAGGCAGCAGCGGGGGCGGCGGCTACGGGGACCGCAGTTTCCGCGGCGGTTCCGGGGGCAGGGGCGGCAGCAGAGGGGGCGGCCGTTTCGGCGGCGGAGACAGGTACGGAAGTGGCGGCGGCGGAGGCGGGGGCCGTGGCGGGTCCAGAGAGGGGGGCGCCAGGAGGTTCGGCAGTAGGGATTTCAACAGGAGAAGTGATGACTTTGGGGGCCGTTCGGATTACAACGGACGCGGAGGCGGCGGGGGCGGACGCAGGTTCGATAATGGCTCGAGATTCAGGTCCAGGTCACCCAACGCAGGACCACCAAGACATTAGATTTTAAGTTATACGTTCGTTTAAGTATTTTAAGTTTAGGTTCGATCTGATGGAAATAACCCTATTGTAATATTATTAAATTGTTAAGACTGCATGCAAAACAGTTTTTGTTTAATCTTTATTACTGTGATGTTATTTTTTAGGGTTTATATTGATTTTTTTATTTCAATCGAAAATGTATGAATGTACAAGTTTTGTACAAATATTGTGTGTAATTACATAATTCTAAACCAATTCGACTTTTATTTTGAATATATTAATACAATAATAAAATACCAGTAAGTAAAATGACTATTATATACTTAATTGTTATAAATTCCATTACCAAATATACTGTGAAGAGTGCTCGTGGTCATCATTTTCTATAGAAACTAGTCGCAAATTTTATATAAATTATTACAATAAATAAAAACACTAGTAAAATGTGACTTAATTACAGAGTTCTTATACTTGTTCATTTAATTGTTATAAAAACTCATTCAATTGCCTAAGGTGCTGTGGAGAAGGCCCTGTGCTTGATTGGTTAATCGCTTTCCATTTTGACATAGCAACTACCTATATTTCTATAGAAAATTATCTCTAGATCTAGAGATAATTTTCTATGGAAATATAGTTTCTTTGAGTCTTTAAAATTTGCAACTATAGTCTATAGTAGGTATAGACAATTATAAGAATAATAAAAACATATAAAATCATTATTTTCTGTTAGTAGCTAGGTAGGTAATTCAAAATTTTATAAATTAGGTAAGACAAATGATAAAACACTAAAAATCATATTTTTGACCTACCTTAACAATTGAAACATTCCATACAATTGCAATGTTTATTCAAATTCCGTTACAAATGGTCACTTAGTTATGTAAATCGTCACTAAATTAATCACACAAACTTTTTATTCACCACTTTTAACACCTATTGCACCCAACAAAATGGCGCTAAAAACAAAACACAATCGCAACCCGCACTGCCAACTATAAACAAATAAAAAATAAACAACCTTTAAAGAATAAAAACCATATTATATGTACTTATAATACATAAAACATATATTCTTTATTTTGTCATTATTTACTAAAAACCTCTTAAAACATTCCTAACCTCTAAAATTCGAAATTCAAAATTCGCCCGCTTCCTGCCGCCACATCGACCAATCAAGAGCGAGCACCAGTCCAAGGTCGGCACTCTTCGATATTCGTGAAGCGAATCGAGTTAATAAAAAAATAATATAAAGCCGGTCGAAAGGAAAAATGAATGTCACTAAATTTTCAACAGGCGTTGTGCGTAAATCAGTGTCTCTCATAGTGAAAAGAAACTTGCAGAAATCGGCAGCAGCAATGGTCAAAGTAAGTGAAGATTTTTTTATTGTGTGTTATGTAATTTTCGTTGTGTTTTGATCATGTTTTTCGGCTGTATAAATAGTTAAAAAGTAGAGGTTATGTTTTAGTTAAAAACCAATTTTTGGAGCGTTTCAGGGTGTTATGTAATAGTTACGTAATAAATAGTGATTACGGGGAGATTAAGAATCTATAAATAGGGGTTTAAATCATGGACATAGGTCAAATTTGATAAAAATTGGCAAAATCTATTTTTTACTTAAGGGGGCATACTGTAATGAAAACATAAATTCGTTAAGGGATACTACTGATAAAACATTTTTGTTTTAAGGTAGGAGATTCTCTTCCAAGCGTGGATCTCTTCGAAGATTTACCGACAAATAAAGTAAATTTGGCTGAATTATCCAAAAACAAGAAAATTATTGTTTTTGCTGTACCTGGAGCTTTCACACCCGGCTGTTCAAAGGTAAGTAATTAGTTTACCGCAAATCAACCTTGGTTACGGATTACATAATAAATAAAAAATGTAAATTGATTTGAAAGGTGACATTCTATAAAAATAAAGGAAACAATGGAAAAGTATAACATTGTTATTAAGGGGGGTTTCCACTTTGTTGGAAGATTATTTTAATTTTTTTTATTAAATAAGTATAGGTACAAATTAATTATACATATATATTTATAAATATATTCTTTTATTAAATAAGAATGAAACTTTATTTGTTGAAACATAAAAAAGAAGATAATAGACACACAGATCTACAACATTTTTGAACAGAAACCATATTTTGTTAGATTTTTGATGTGCTAAATCCAAAATCGACTTTAGAAATGCTACGAGTGTGACGTCGCGATGTTATAATATAAAATGTATTCCTAACATAATCAAATTCTTTGACATATATAATATTTTTACTTACGTATTTTAGTATAAAGTTCGTAAAATTTAAAATTCTAAATGTACTTTTCCTCGATTTTCAAACGATTATAATACTTTAAAGACTATTAAACATAACCCAGAAACAGATGTTGGATTCATTCGTAATTCTTGATACATCAGTTATAACATCGTGGCGTCACGATATCAAAAATCAAAAATTGTTTAAGAAATATAGAAATAAATTTTTAATGTCAAATGTCCCAACCCAAGGGTAGTATTTTTTAAAATCCCTGACGTTATTAAGGGACTTTACCTATAATTTTAGACCCATTTACCGGGCTACGTCGAAAAAGCCGACCAACTAAAATCCAGTGGAATCGCTGAAATTGTCTGCGTTTCCGTAAACGACCCATTCGTTATGGGAGCCTGGGCTAAAGACCAGAAAACATCAGGAAAAATAAGAATGCTGGCTGACCCTCAAGCTCAACTAGCCAAGGCTTTGGATCTGACAGTTGAAATAGCCCCATTGGGAGGGGTTAGGAGTAAGAGATACTCCATCGTCGCTGAAAATGGGGTTATTAAATCTCTGCAAGTTGAACCCGATGGTACCGGTTTATCGTGCTCTTTGGCTGACAAAATTGTTGTTTAAATTGTGTGTAAAAGTAATGATAAAAATAAATTAATATGTTAGGAGTACAGACGATTTTTATTAACCCCTAAAACATTTAATTTAACAGAAATACTTTTTTATTGTTTAACGCTTTCGATGTTTTCTGTAGGTTTGGCAACTTCTTCATTTTTCAGTGAGGATCCAGAAATAAAGTTCTCTCCTAAATGGATATTGGTTCTTATAAAAATTGAAGCTTTTTTTAGTCTGTAAGCTTCTTGGTCATTTATCTTTGGCATATGTGTCGATAAAACTCCATGACGTCCTAAAAATATATGAGATAAAACTTTCTAGACATTTTCAGTACATACCCAATCGGATAATAGACGTCATGTAAGGCAGAAAATTCGCTATATGCCCCATCTGTCGCACGAAAGCACAATCGACACAATTCGTTTCCCCCAAAATTGCTTTAGTCAAATTGTTTACAAATCTGGCTACTCCCACAGCTGTCGATAGAGAGATACACGAAGACGGGTCTTTGAATAGCTTCAAAATGTCGTCTTCAGCTTCGCAAATGTTACGCTGTATCAGCTGAGTGGTTGACTAAAGAAAAAATCGTATTATCTATGCAACTTTTTAAAGGTCATACTTGTGGTATATTGGCTTGCGGTCTAACTTGGGAAAAAACCGCCACAGTTGAGAGTGGGCCATGACCTCCAACTATGGGCGTCAAAATATCGCTAACGCTCCCCCCTATGTATTTCGCAATAAAATGGTTAGCTCTCATCGAAGATATCGACGTTATACCGATGATTTTCCTTGCGTCGTATACTCCAGCTTTTTTGTATTCCTTGGAAAAAATCATTAATGTTTATGCTGTGGTACACAGCAAACGGAAAAATATAGAACTGTATAGGATGACTCCGCGTTTGAATATTAAATCTTAAAGTTTTATCACAACTGTATTGAATCGTGCTTTGTTTTTATATTTTTCGGCTCTATACCTAGGCACGACTATATTTAAAGTCAAACTCAATGGTGTCTTACAAGATATATTGTTTTAATTTTCTATATTCAACAGAGAGGTAGAAACTCGACCCTGTCGAATGGTGCAGTCATTTATGTCTCTAGAAATTATTAAAAAAGGGTTCAGTCCAATGGTGCAGCAACTTCGGATTTCTATTCTCTTCAGAGACATAGAAACTCAAGCTTTTCGAATTTTACTGGCAATGATTTTCGTTAATGTCCCCGAGAATTATACAAAAACAGCGCAATGCAATATCGCAACGGTTTCGACTTCTCTTTACTCTACCAAGTTATAGAAACTGGAGTCTCTCTAATACTGTTCTAGTCAATATTTCTGAGAGTATAAAAAGAGGGTGTAATATTGCAAGAAATTTTGATCTTTTGATGGATGTAAGTAGTGAATTTTCTCATTTCTGCATATGATTTTGTTGAAAATAGTTCCTTTCTTTGGTTCCTTTGTCTGATTTTTATTTACCGTAACAACTCAGGTATGTAAAGCACAGAGGATATGATGTTAAGTATATTTATGTATTATAATATATTATATTATAAAGTACCGTAACAACTCAGGTATGTAAAGCACAGAGGATATGATGTTAAGTATATTTATGTATTATAATATAATATATTATATTATAAAGTAGGTACCTATATTTGTATTAAAAATTTCAGAGGTTATGTTAAAAAAATGATCGATATGCTAAGTATTAAACTTTAATAATTTAGTAATGAGGTCTGTTGGTAGACCCTGCACTATCTCCACTGGTATATGTTAGTACAGCAATATTTGGTAAATCTGGTTGATGAAAAAGTACACACCAGTGCAGGTTATTGTAGCATCTACGAACAAATGAATTAATGGCCCATTGGCAATTATTCCTTTAGGAAAAATATTCAACACAGCTTAATTAATTATTAAAATGAAAAAAATCACAATCATGTCGTATAAAGTTTTTTTTAAGCATAAAATAATTTTTATATTAATACTAGTTCAAAAGTGAAATTACGACCTCTATATATATCTAGTATACAGTATACTGTGGAGACTCCACTCCACTGGAGAGTATTGAAACGCTCGACTGACGAATACAAATCTATACCGTGGGGAGATTTAGAAAACCATATTCAAACGTGGCGTCATCCTATACACCTCTATAATTTTCCGTTTGCTGTGTAATATGAAATCTTACTTCGGAAACCATCGGAACTAAGCTCTCCACTGGAGGCGTTTGTATACAGAAAATACCCTTGGGGTTAAACTCAGCTGCGTATAGAGCTGCAGCTCGTACACTGTCGACATTTTGCTCGAACAGCTTCGCAGAAGTTTCGCCGGGTTTCCGTTGACAACCCCCTGCGTGTATTATAATATCTGCATCCTAGATAAGCTTAATTATAAATATAAAATTAACAAAATAATCCTACCTACCTCTATAGCTTGTCTAATAACGTGATTCCCCTTGAAGGATTTGACCTGAGTTCTTGTATCAATGTGACTCAAATCCTCAGCTATATTAAACACCTCTTTGTTGACATCATACAATTTTAGTTCATGTATATGAGGACTCTGCTTCAAAAGTAAAGAAATATTTCTACCTATGTTACTACAGGCATTCAAAACTGTTACTACAGGGTGAGTTGTAAAGACTTGTTTATGGGTAAATGTACAACATTTCCTTAACACAAACGGCAAAATCTTGTTGACTACAGACAATTTTGAGGAAAACATTTTTAATATGATACAAAGAATTTTGCTTACATCTTAGACATATGTCAAAACTTGTCATTTATTAGTTTTTTTTGTGATTTCTGGGTGGGTTAATTTTGGGATTACATAAATTCTAATGGATTATACAGAGTTTGAAATGCCGTCCTTTGCAGAATTCTCTAAGGAGTTAGCATATAGAACGCCCATATACGTTCATCCCGCAAGAAAAATAAATTACATCACCAAAAACTTGTGCTATACTGACATAATCAACAATCAAAAAAAGAATACTCAGAAGAAATGTAGAAGAAAAACTGTCATCAACAAGCTAGAAGAAACGTATTGGTCAAACTGGAAACCTAGCAAGGAAAACCAAGACGTATTTGAAGAATATAATGATAAAAAACACACCCACAGTAGTAAAAAATGCCATGGTGATACGTCCGAGTCCATTGTGGAGCACTTCACATCCAACAACTTCCAAAACTCCACCACATCCACCGACTACTTCGTGAAGAAGCGCGTCAGCAAGCAAAAACAATCCATAGACGTCCAAACTGAACTCAGCTCCATCGCGTTGACAAAATTGGAAGAAAAAAGCAAGTCAATAGAAAATTTGGCCTCCCCTGAAACCGTCAAGGAAGACGCGGCCCAAAAGAAGAAAACCCGGGATGAGACAAGCGAAAAAAAAGATCCCGTCAAGTCGGATAACGAAGACTTCTGGAACGTGATTGAAGAAGAAACGATGAATCTCCGAAGCACGTACAGTAGCGTGTCCATAAAGCACACGGACTCGTTGATAATCCTAAAGAAGAAACAAAATGAGTCGAAAGAGAAAGTGCAGCAACCTAAATGCATCAGGCTTTTTAAGAAACTTAAAACGGGGAGCGTGAATTTGAGTAGGAGCTATATGCGGGGTGGCTCGTATCCTTTGAGTTCCTGCCAAGGGTCTGGAAAGACCAGTTTGGTGCTCAGCAATAACAAGAATAAAGCGAAGAAAAGTAAAAATGTTTTGTACTAAAAAGGGTCCATATTGAGAAAATGTTCAATTGAATTAAAATTAAAGTATCATACAAAGTTTTAAGTTGTTTATTGTAAAAGTAGGTACCTATATGGATTTGGTGTTTGAAAATTAGAAAATCTAGTAATTTTGTTGGACAATTTATTGGAAATACAGTCCAAATTATAGAAAGATTGTAAAATTACTGTTGTGAATTCAATTGGGGCTTTTGAAAAAGATTTTATATAGGGTAAAGTAGACAGTTATCGGACACTTTATAGTTATTGGACAATTAACATTAATACTGTAAAAACAAGAGTTCTATAAATAGTTAGCTTAAAGTCAAATCATTAGATGATGCTGTATACAATTAAAAATTTATCAGTCGTAATAATATAGAACTAAGTACTTTATTTTGGGTCCAATATAGGACAAAAAAGTTCGCACGTGGTAAGATTTTTGTTTTTTTGTCAAGAGCAGGGCTATGTTTAAATTACAATAAAAATATTTCTAAAAAGTGTACAGATCAGTGTGTGATATAAATGTGTTCCTCATGGGTTAAACATTGTCACTTTAATGCGTTTTAATTTTAATTCTGAAAACAAACAGTAAAATGGCCAGTGTCCAATTACTGGTTGGTAAAAAATGTAAATTTCTTTTATTGGACATATGTCCAATATCATCCTCTATTTGTATGCCGGACATTTAACATCCAATTCTTATGTCAAATTATCCCCTGAATCCGAAAAGACCATCAAAAACTATAAAAGGTAAACAGTTTTTGAGATATAGTCAATTCCATATTATATGTAAAATTGATTATATTTCAAAAACTGTTCTACTTTTTTAACTTTTGACGACATTTTCGGATTCAGCGAATAATATTTTATAGGAATTGACTGCAAAATAACTTGGATACAAATTGCTGTTGACGAGAATTATTAGTGGCTGCTTTTTCGCTATGATATATTTGACTAATTCATTTTTAGAGAGTAAGTAATTTAGTGATTTCTTCGTCACAGGACATCTTGCAGAATATCACTGATTTAAATACAGTGCATGATAGAGAACATAAAAAAGTAATGGAAACAAAATTAATAAATTCGGAAAATACTTTTAACATACCACCCGAAAAAATATTAGATAACAAACTAGAGATACCACACTTAAGTGTTAATTAATGATATTTGCAACAAACTATTTTAGAAGTCAGTTGATTTTTTAATAATAGTTTTATAAAAACATGCAAAAAAGTATAGTAATTGGACCCATATGGGTCAAAAAAAGTTGTTATGTATATAAAAAGTTGTTATGTATATAAAAATTGTATGTCCAATTGACCATAGTTATTGGACATACAATTTTTATATACATAACAACTTTACATCAAATAACATATATTGTTAAATATTTTTTAAAGATAAATTGGTTTTAGGTAATTTTTTATTTCGTTTTTGAAAATATCATATAATTCATATATTTAGGAATAAGTAGTTACCTTCAGAATCCAGAAAAGGGGATGAGGAATCCGAGAAAGAAATATATGAATTATATGATATTTACAAAAACGAAATAAAGAAAATTACCTAAAACAGCAATTTATCTTTAAAAAATATTTAACAATTTATGTTATTTGATGTAAAGTTGTTATGTTTATATAAAAATTGTATGTCCAATAACTATGGTCCATGTGTCCAATTACTATACTTTTTTGCATGTTTTTATAAAACTAATATAAAAATTATTTTTAAGTAAACGTAAATAAAGTTTAAACAAACAAACTATCTTTTTATAATTGTATAAGAAAAAAACTAAAATCTTTAAAAGAATAATATTCCTTAAGTGTCAAATATCCAATAAATAAGGGGTTTACCCTATACATTTTTATAAATGGCGATTTTTTTTATCTGTTTTGGAAAAATAACTGTTGTGGATTCAAATGGAGCTTTTGAAAAAGGTAATTCTGGTTTTATAAATTAAAAAAATTGGCATTTTGGTCGGCTATTTTGTGGAAATACAGTTTAGGAATACTGCCTTTTTATTTATTTTGTAAAAAAATAAATTACTGTTGTGGCTTCATTTGGAGCTTTTAAATATGTTTTATAAATTAAAAAAATGGAAAGATGGAAATACAGTCCAATTAAGAAGAATACCTTTTTGTTTAATTAATTTGGTAACCAATACATTTTGTTAGTATTGCAATGACATAGGTCGTTATATAAAAGTGTTTGGTATCATGATATAAAATATTTATTAGGTAAAATTTTTCAATAATAAAAAAATCACTAAACTTAACATATATATTGCAACTAATAGTAAAACTGTGCGAAATAGACATATAGAAATATGAAATTACAGTGACCATTTAGTTTTATTATTTACATAATTACAATAATTGATGATTTTTGATTACTCACCAAAATTAAACCTTATCACAAAAAGAAAACAGTTTGCGTCAAATAAAAATATGTCCAGTGTTATTTTGATTCTGTTGGTTTTACATGAGAAACACAAACTTATTGGTGAGGCTACATTTTTTAACGTAAAATTTTGGAAGGCATTTTCAAGTACCAAGCCATTAAAAACCCGACTTATTTCTATATGACTACTATATCATATCACAAAGAGTTAAAAATTATATGTTCACATAGCACTTTAGAGTGCTGAAAAATACTTAAATATATCACTGGTAGTTTGTAATTGAATATATTACCCATGTAAGTAATAATTAAGTGAGGAAAACACAAAACCATTAAAATGGCACAACTACGGTGGAATATTCGAGGTTTGGCTCAATTTTTTGAGAGATTTTGTGTTTTGTAATATTTATTCTGTGGGTACCTATGGGTATAATTTTTTTGAGTGAGATATTTACTTATTGGTACTTTTTAGTTTTACCGAACTTACTACAACCAAAATAGGCATTCTTTTTTCTTGAATTATTTCAGGTACTTTTTCAGACTACAAAATTTCCAGAGGGGCAAGTAAAAAATACCAATAATATTAGTTTTAAAGAACTGTTAAGTGTTTATGGGTAATATGTTAGTAAAAAATAATATGTTATATCCTAAAAATAACTAATAAAGGTGATTATAGAATTTTTTGACAAAATTTCTTCATACTCCTTACTCATTACTCACAATACATTACTTCACTCCTAAGACATCATTTCACAATTATAAAATTATTCACTCACACAATTTTAAAAAAGTCTTTTAAATTTGTTAAAAAGTCCTATAATGCATAATCCTACTTTTTCGAACAACAATTGTTATATTTACTCCCAATTTAAGACAGTACAGGGGATTTAAAAAGTACTTTGGTAAATTTCAAGAGTATTCACCATAAAAATATGATACAGTGACAAACTTTGTAACTCATTGATAAAATAATGTTTCTTTTAACACTAGTTAAAAAATCAACCACTTTTCCCAATAAAAATCCACGTTCAAGCATCTGAATTACAATTTTCTGGAAAAACTAATCCTGATGGATGGAAATTAGAAAATTTAACTCTTTGATAAAACAATGTTTCATTTTAACACTGGTTAAAAAATAAACCACTTTTCCCAACAAAAATCCACGTCCAAGCATCTGAATTACAGTTTTCTGGAAAAGCTAATCCTGATGGATAAAAATTAGAAAACTTAACATTTTGGACAAACGCTTTTGATGAAGTATAGTCCAAGTAAGAAGAGGAACGCCTTTTTATTTAATTTGGCAATTTTTTTATCATCAAATTCATCAAAGTACTCTTGTATCAACCTGCATAGATAGGGGCAGTTATTTTATTTTATTAGTGTGGCAGTTGTGGGCAGCAATTTTGTAACGATAAAATTCCAAAAAGTGATTGAAGAGAATGGACGTTTTTTTTTTTCGAAAAATACAGGGTGTTGCCTAGAAAATTATATGGCATTAATATGGCTCCAAAATTGGTCGAGGGTTTAGAAACAGTGGAAAATCATCTATAGTTTAGAGTAAGGCCAAAATATTTCCACTTGTATTGACTTTTGAGCAAATTTTGTTATGTGTAGAATTTTAAGATTTTAGCAATGATTATTTCTGCCTTGGTTTGTTTGTTGTTGCTAGAATCAAAATTCTGGTGTACAAAAATATATAATAAACGTTTTTCCAATGTTTTCATGTTTTTAATGGAACTGCCCGCCAAATATCGCATCAAAAACGCAATGAGATATCGTTGTTACTGTTTTAAAAGCAAATAAATAGATTATTGGGGGTGCCGTGTTGGAGACAGTCGTCAGCACTAAAAAGCATTAATTTAATCACTTTAACAACACTTTTGACACCACCTTCGATTTAATTTTGTATTTTTTTTTAAATTTTTATTGAGGTTCCTTTGAAGATGTAGCTGTTTCAGGCCATACAGATGGTAGACTGCCCATAAGCGGGGTCTTGCACAGGTTTGTGGGCGATGTTGGTCGCCCTGTTAGCTCGTCTCACCAACAGAAAACCGACAATTCGCCACCGTGGTCTCCGGTGTGACGCCAGGCTGTCACTGAACGTGCTTTTTGCTGAAAAAAATAGAAAAATAATGAAATTCAAAAAGTCTTGATTTTCAAAATTTAGTAGACAATTTATGTGAAATTAAGTGTAACTAAGAATACGCATAACACAACAATTGTGAAATTTTTATAATTGATGTTTTTGATAGGGTTTCTAAAAATATAGTCCTGAAATGTAAAATTTTAAAAATTTAGTTACTTTAGAAGACGATTTTGTAAAAATTTAGTAATAAAAAAGACGCATAACAAGAACATTACATAGAATATTTTGGTGTTTACATGGTGTTTCTGAGAAAGCTAATTCTGATTTTTAAAATTGAGAAAATTGAGTAACTTTAGCAGACGATTTTTGTGAAATTTAGTGTTAATAAGAAGACGCATAACAGAAAAATTGTGAAAGTCTTATATTTTGGTTTAAACTTGTTTTTGATAGTCCTGATATTTAAAATTTAGAAAATTTAGTTTCTTTAGTAGACAATTTTGTAAGAATTTATTAATAAAAAATAAGACGCATAACAAGAACATTACATAGAATATTTTGGTGTTTACATGGTGTTTCTGAGAAAGCAAATTCTGATTTTTAAAATTGAGAAAATTTGGTAACTTTTGCAGACGATTTTTGTGAAATTTAGTGTTAATAAGAATAAGCATAACAGAAAAATTATGAAATTCTTATATTTTGGTTTAAACTTGTTTTTGATAAGGTATCTGAAAAAGCTAGTCCTGATATTTAAAATTTAGAAAATTTAGTTACTTTGGTATACAATTTTGTAAAAATTTAGTAAAAAAAATAAGACGTTAACAAGAACATTACATAGAATATTTTGGTGTTTACATGGTGTTTCTCAGAAAGCTAATTCTGATTTTCTAAATTGAAAAAATGTAGTAACTTTAGCAGACGATTTTTGTGAAATTTAGTGTTAATAAGAAGACGCATAACAGAAAAATTGTGAAATTCTTATATTTTGGTATAAACTTGTTTTTAATAAGGTGTCTGAAAAAGCTAGTCCTGATATTTTAAATTTAGAAAATTTAGTTACTTTGGTACACAAATTTGTAAAAATTTAGTAAAAAATAAGACGCATAACAAGAACATTACATAGAATATTATGGTGTTTACATGGTGTTTCTGAGAAAGTTAATTCTGATTTTTAAAATTGAGAAAATGTAGTAACTTTAGCAGACGATTTTTTTTATTGAGAAATTTTGGTAACTTAAGCAGAAGATTTTTGTGAAATTTAGTGTAAATAAGAAGACGCATAACAGAAAAATTGTGAAATTCTTATATTTTGGTTTTAAACTTGTTTTTGATAGGGTTTCTAAAAAAGCTAGACCTGATATTTAAAATTTAGAAAATTTAGTTACTTTGGTACACAATTTTGTAAAAATTTAGTAAAAAAAAATAAGACGCATAACAAGAACATTACATAGAATGTTTTGGTGTTTACATGGTGTTTCTAAGAAAGCTAAGTCTGATTTCTAAAATTGAGAAAAAGTAGTAACTTTAGCAGACGATTTTAGTGAAATTTAGTGTTAATAAGAATACGCATAACAGAAAAATTGTGAAATTCTTATATTTTGGTATAAACTTAATGTTTTTGATAAGGTTTCTGAAAAAGCTAGACCTGATATTTAAAATTTTAAAAATTTAGTTACTCTAGTAGACAATTTTGTGAAAATTTAGTAATAAAAAATAAGGCGCATAACAAGAACATTACATAGAATATTTTGGTGTTTACATGGTGTTTCTGACAAAGCTAATTCTGATTTTTAAAATTGAGAAAATTTGGTAACTTTAGCAGACGATTTTTGTGAAATTTAGTGTTAATAAGAAAACGCATACGAGAAAAGTTGTAAAATTCTTATATTTTGGTATAAACTTGTTTTTGATAGGGTGTCTGAAAAAGCTAGTCCTGATATTTAAAATTTAAAAAATTTAGTAACTTTGGTACACAATTTTGTAAAAATTTAGTAAAAAAAATAAGACGCATAACAAGAACATTACATAGAATATTTTGGTGTTTACATGGTGTTTCTAAGAAAGCTAATTCTGATTTTCTAAATTGAGAATTCTTATATTTTGGTATAAACTTGTTTTTGATAGGGTGTCTGAAAAAGCTAGTCCTGATATTTAAAATTTAGAAAATTTAGTTACTTTGGTCCACAATTTTGTAAAAATTTAGTCAAAAAAATAAGACGCATTACATAGAATATTTTGGTGTTTACATAGTGTTTCTTTAAAGCAAATTCTGATTTTCTAAATTGAGAAAATGTAGTAACTTTAGCAGACGATTTTTGTGAAATTTAGTGTAAATAAGAAAACGCATACGAGAAAAGTTGTGAAATTCTTATATTTTGGTATAAACTTGTTTTTGATAGGGTTTCTGAAAATGCTAGATCTGATATTTAAAATTTAGAAAATTTAGTTACTTTAGTAGACAATTTTGTAAAAATTTAGTTATAAAAAAGAAGACGCATGACAAGAACATTACATAGAGTATTTTGGTGTTTACATGGTGTTTCTGAGAAAGCTAATTCTGATTTTTAAAATTGAGAAAATGTAATAACTTTAGCAGACGATTTTTGTGAAATTTATTGTTAATAAGAAGACGCATAACAGAAAAATTGTGAAATTCTTATATTTTGGTATAAACTTGTTTTTGATAGGGTGTCTGAAAAAGCTAGTCCTGATATTTAAAATTTGGAAAATGTAATTACTTTAGTAGACAATTTTGTAAAAATTTAGTAAAAAAAATAAGACGCATAACAAGAACATTACATAGAATATTATGGTGTTTACATGGTGTTTCTGAGAAAGCTAATTCTGAATTTTAAAATTGAGAAAATTGAGTAACTTTAGCAGACGATCTTTGTAAAATTTAGTGTTAATAAGAAGACGCAAAACAGAAAAATTGTAAAATTCTTATATTTTGGTTTAAACTTGTTTTTGATAGGGTTTCTGAAAAAGCTAGTCCTGATATTTAAAATTTAGAAAATTTAGTTACTTTGGTACACAATTTTGTAAAAATTTAGCAAAAAAAAATAAGACGCATAACAAGAACATTACATAGAATATTTTGGTGTTTACATGGTGTTTCTGAGAAAGCTAATTCTGATTTTTAAAAATGAGAAAATGTAGTAACTTTAGCAGACGATTTTTGTAAAATTTAGTGTTAATAAGAAGACGCATAACAAAAAAATTGTGAAATTCTTATATTTTAGTATAAACTTGTTTTTGGATAGGTTCTGAAAAAGCTAGACCTGATATTTAAAATTTAGAAAATTTAGTTACTTTGGTACAACAATTTTGTAAAAATTTAGTAAAAAAAATAAGACGCATAACAAGAACATTACATATAATATTTTGGTGTTTACATGGTGTTTCTGAGAAAGCTAATTCTGATTTTTAAAATTGAGAAAATTTAGTTACTTTAGCAGACGATCTTTGTGGAATTTAGTGTTAATAAGAAGACCTATAACAGAAAAAAGTTATCCTACCCAAAATATATTTAAGGCAATAAATAAAAAAGGTGTGGTGTAGGGTAAGAAAGAATAAAGGTAAAAAGTAACTAGAGATTTCAAAGTTCATTGCTATAAAGTCGTAGCCCAAAGTGAATCGGTCTCTTAGTAGTTTGTTAAAAAATAAAGAAGCAAGGCAAAAACGCGCGGCCCCATCCTCGCCCCTGCGTACCCCTGCATAGGGGCGACATTCGCACGGCTCGCCGCAACGTTCCGCCGCTCGAGTGCCATTGAAACACACGAGTGCGCTATACTTCATACCGGTAATGACAAAAAAGAAATAAAAAGTAAAATCTCTCTTTTCTTATATTTCACAATTAAAAACGCGGCTGACGTCAGTCGCTGACTACAAAAACTCATTGCAATAATGCACCTAGCTTTCTTTCAATACTCCAATGAGAGGTGCAGGGCTGGATTTGCCCGAAACGTCATAAAAAAATAAAATAATTAAATATAAAGTCATTCTTCATATGCACTATTAGAACTATATTTCAATAAAAAAATTTAAATAATAAAAAAAAAAATTGGAAAAGCTAGTTCTGATTTTTTAACTTTTTTTGCTCAGAGCGCAATATTTGCAATCCGGCTCTAACCCGACGCGAACTGCTTGTTAACAAATTTTAATTAATTAAAAAAAGCGTTACGAATATAATTTTTAAAACACGCTTCGCCGACTCTCTATTCCACGGTTTAAATCAACACCCCACACAAATTAAAATTATTTTTAGCAAAAATATGTTTTCAAACAAAAATACACAGCTTTCTGTGTTAAAACTCCATTTTTGTTTTCAAATTTTGAAGTCGATGAAAAATTTTAAATGATTTATTATTATTAATCTTTTTCAAGCCAAAAAATTCGATGCCAGATGTTACAAACGTTTGTTGGCCCAACTGTTTGTTGTACAAACACTTCAAAGAAAACAGGAATTGTTAGCTGTATTTTTATTAGGTGCGTCAATAATTTTAAACCGCACGCAAATTTTTTAAATATATTCTTACAACGTTACGATCTTGAATTGACCTTCACCTTCACCAAATTGTAGTAGGTAAGTACCAAACGATTTTTTTACGCTACCAAAATATTTAACTAGAAAAACAAGTTACGTAACTTTATCCCACGCATTTAAACAATACGAGGTGATCCAAAACCTTGTATTTTGTTTGTTTTGTTTTTCATACAACGGGAGACAAAATCAATGCAAACCACTTTCCCTACCATGCATTTTTTATGCCCCTCATCACAATCGATATTCGGACCAGTCTATCTTGCATATCTCATCTCTACATCTACTTACTTGTTGCATTTTTTCGAAATCCAAGTACGGCCGTTGCATATGGCTGTGCCTAAGGTGTCTGGATCTTTTCCTGGGCGAAGCTTCGTAGTGCAAAAGTTTGGGTGGCGGGCTCAAAGACCGGCCTTTGTGTAGCAACTGTTTCCTGCCCGGTTTCACCGCCTCGATTGGTGGAGAAGTCCGGAATTGCACTGGAGTCGCCATGCTCGCCAAGAGATGGTGGACCTGATAGGAAAAAATGAAAATTTAGGGATTTCTTTAGACGATTTAGAGGATGTACACTATGATAATTAGGATGGTGATAAAAGGAGTATTTTTGGTGATCGCTTTTAATATAATAAGAAAGGTTAGTTTTGTAATTTTTGGTAGTTTAGGAGTTTTGGTGGGCGATTATGTTGAAGTTGGTTATAATAATCATCGTGATCACAAATTTTTGTTAATTGGTGGAAAAGTTCGCAATTGTACAGGTGTTGCAATACTGGACAAGATTAAGTGAACCAGATATGAGAAAAGTAAAATTTAGGACATTTTTCAAAAGATTTAGAGGATGTAGAGTATGTAAATTGGGATAGTGATAAAATAAATGAATTTGGTGATCGTTTTCACTATAATAAGCAGGGTTTTGGTACTGTAGCTCGCCAAGAGATGGTGGACCTGATGGGAAAAAATGAAAATGTAGGGATTTCTTTAGACGATTTAGAGGATGTACACTATGATAATTAGGATGGTGATAAAAGGAGTATTTTTGGTGATCGCTTTTAATATAATAAGAAGGGTTAGTTTTGCAATTTTGATAGTTTAGGAGTTTTGGTAGGCGATTATGTTGAAGTTGGTTATAATAATCATCGTGATCACAAGTTTTTGTTAATTGGTGGAAAAGTTCGAAATTGTACAGATGTTGCAATACTGGACAAGATTTAGTGAACCAGATATGAAAAAACAAAAATTTTATGACATTTTTCAAAAGATTTAGAGGGTGCAGAGTATGTAAATTGGGATGGTGATAAAATAAATGAATTTGGTGATCGTTTTCACTATAATAAGCAGGGTTTTGGTACTGTAGTCGCCATGCTCGCCAAGAGATGGTGAACCTGATGGAAAAAATGAAAATGTAGGGATTTCTTTAGACAATTTACAGGATGTACAGTATAATAATTAGGATGGTGATAAAAGGAGTATTTTTGGTGATCGCTTTTAATATAATAAGAAGGGTTAGTTTTGTAATTTTCATAGTTTAGGAGTTTTGGTAGGCGATTATGTTAAAGTTGGTTATAATATTCATCGTGATCACAATTTTTTGTTAATTGGTGGAAAAATTCGCAATTGTACAGGTGTTGCAATATTGGACAAGTTTTAGTGTACCAGATATGAAAATATAAAAATTTAGGAAATTTTTCAAAAGATTTAGAGGATGTAGAGTATGTAAATTGGAAAGGTGATAAAATAAATGAATTTGGTGATCGTTTTCACTATAATAAGCAGGGTTTTGGTACTGTAGTCGCCATGCTCGCCAAGAGATGGTGAACCTGATAGGAAAAAATGAAAATGTAGGGATTTCTGTAGACGATGTAGAGGATGTACAGTGTAATAATTAGGATGGTGATAAAAGGAGTATTTTTGGTGATCGCTTTTAATATAATAAGAAGGGTTAGTTTTGTAATTTTGATAGTTTAGGAGTTTTGGTAGGCGATTATGTTGAAGTTGGTTATAATAATCATCGTGATCACAATTTTTTGTTAATTGGTGAAAAAGTTCTGAATTGTACAGGTGTTGCAATACTGGACAAGATTTAGTGAACCAGATATGAAAAAATAAAAATTTAGGACATTTTTCAAAAGATTTAGAGGATGTAGAGTATGTAAATTGGGATGTTGATAAAATAAATGAATTTGGTGGTCGTTTTCACTATAATAAGCAGGGTTTTGGTACTGTAGTCGCCATGCTCGCCAAGAGATGGTGGACCTGATAGGAAAAAATGAAAATTTGGGGATTTCTTTAGACGATTTAGAGGATGTACAGTATGATAATTAGGATGGTGATAAAAGGAGTATTTTTGGTGATCGCTTTTGATATAATAAGAAGGATTGGTTTTGTAATTTTGATAGTTTCGGAGTTTTGGTAGGCGATTATGTTGAAGTTGGTTATAATAATCATCGTGATCACAAATTTTTGTTAATTGGTGGAAAAGTTCGCAATTTTACAGGTGTTGCAATACTGGACAAGATTTAGTGAACCAGATATGAAAAAATAAAAATTTAGGACATTTTTCAAAAGATTTAGAGGATGTAGAGTATGTAAATTTGGATGGTGATAAAATAAATGAATTTGGTGATCGTTTTCAACATAATAAGCAGGGTTAGTTTTTTAGTTTTGATAGTTTAGGAGTTTTGGTAGGCGATTATGTTGAAGTTGGTTATAATATTCATCGTGATCACAAATTTTTGTTAATTGGTGGAAAAGTTCGCAATTGTACAGGTCTTGCAATACTGGACAAGATTTAGTGAACCAGATATGAAAAAATAAAAATTTAGGAAATGTTTCAAAAGATTTAGAGGATGTAGAGTATGTAAATTTGGATGGTGATAAAATAAATTAATTTGGTGATCGTTTTCAATATAATAAGCAGGGTATAAAAAGTTTAGGGGTTTTGGTACTACATTCTGTTAAAGTGGGATGTAATTATCATCGAGGTCACAATTGTTTTTTAATTGATAACTTTTTTCATGATGAAGAGCTCTTTTTCGTATGACAAAACAAAACGTTCATGTTTTTTTTTAAATAACTTACTTCTTCATCGCTTGATCCAGAATGTTGGACTGCGCCATCTTCCCCGAAGCATTTGTAAGGTGAACATGATGTCGATGGGCTCAAATTGCCATAATGTGACATATTTTCTTCATTTTCAGGGGTGTATCTTTTATGACAATCACCCATTTGGGACCATTTTCTTTTTTCTGGTAAGCAGACTGAAGCTGCCCTTAATGGTCTCACCTAGGAAATTGTTTTAATCGATTTGTTTTTTTAAAATTAATTATGTTACCTGTTCCACTACCTTTTTGTTACTATTTATAACCTCGAGCTCCTCCTCAGAGCTATGAGCGTCCTGCTGATCAGGCGCAGGGCTGTCGACTGAACACCCTGTATCTGCCGGAGATATACTAGATGTTTTGTCACGTACTACTGAAAAAAATGATGTGTCCATCATAGAGCATATTTGCGATAATTAAGGTATTAAAAATTGCTATTTTTAGTAACGGAAAATATTGATTATAATTTTAATTATGTTATAAATCATGGTTTGTAAGTTATATCACCATTTTGATAACATGCAATCATACGTTATTATAATTAACATTTTAGTCGCTGTGCATTTGGATTAAAACTTAAAACCACTTGATCAATAATAAACTACACAATATACTATTTATAATGTAGAGTCCAAAAGACATTCGGTTCTGTGGTTTTATATGTTATATCCTCAAAATAATTTTAATTGAAAATCTAAGTTGGCGGTCGCAAAGCTGTCTTGATTAAAAATCGATAATTATTTTATTAACACAGCAAATGTCCGTGCTGAAATCCGAAGGGTCATTAGAAATTATAATCGGTTTAGGCAGAGGAGATAGAGACTTAAATTTTATATAATCGATAGGAAAATTTATTCACCCCGCAGCTTCAACATTCACTTTTCCGCATGACGGGCTCGCGTCAGAAAAATGTATGAACTTTATGGCGATATTAATTATGATGTTTTGTCGTCAACAAGTTGTTTATGTCAAAGGAGATCTTTTTAATAAAATAGAATTCAAATAAAATTAAAAAGATTTTATTGAAGTAAGTTGTTATGAATATGACTGTAATTTGGCGATTTTTTCATTTTATTAGAAAATTCAAGTCTTTATTTAGATGATTTTAACGAAGTGTGGAGTGAATTTAAAGAAAGTAAAACAAAAAAGTATATCGGTTATTATTTTTGTAATAAAGAGCTAGATAATTTAATATTTAAAAAAATATTAGATAGTTTTATAGAAGAAAGGAGTAAAATTTAGGATGTTAATAAAACAACTTATATTGGTTATAATTAAAGCTTCTTTTGTTCAAGATAATGAATTTTGTGTTTTAAATGTTTTTGAGTTTTTTCAAGATTCTTTTGAGAAGTATGTATGGTGTGAAATTTAGGATGGTAATAAAAAAAATATTGGTGATATTTTTCACGATGAGCGATATTTTTGCATTTTTGAAAATTCAGTAATTTTTTTGGATGGCATTGAGGATGTATGGTGTAAAATTTAGAATGGTGGTAATAAAATTAAAATTGTTGATAATATTTGATATGAACATATAGTTTAATTGTACCAGTTTTGCCATAGTGGACAAGATATAGTGAACCAGATATGAAAAAATGAAAATTTTGAACACTTTTCTAAAGATTTGGAGGATGTAGAGTATGTAAATTGAGATGGTGATAAAATTAATGAATTTGGTGATCGTTTCACTACCATAAGCAGGGTTAGTTTTTCGGTTTTAATAGTTTAGGGGTTTTGGTACACCATTCTGTTGAAGTCGGTTATAATTATCATCGAGGTCACAATTTTTTGTTAATTGTTGAAAAAGTTCGGAATTGTACGTGTTGCAATACTGGATAAGATATAGTGAACCAGATATGAAAAAAATAAATTTTAGGACATTTTTCAAAAGATTTAGAGGATGTAGAGTATGTAAATTGGGATGGTGATAAAATAAATGAATTTGGTGGTCGTTTTCACTATAATAAGCAGGGTTTTGGTACTGTAGTCGCCATGCTCGCCAAGAGATGGTGAACCTGATAGGAAAAAATGAAAATTTAGGGATTTCTTTAGATGATTTAGAGGATGTACAGTATGATAATTAGGATGGTGATAAAAGGAGTATTTTTGGTGATCGCTTTTAATATAATAAGAAGGGTTAGTTTTGTAATTTTGATAGTTTAGGAGTTTTGGTAGGCGATTAAGTTGAAGTTGGTTATAATATTCATCGTGATCACAATTTTTTGTTAATTGGTGGAAAAGTTCGCAATTGTACAGGTGTTGCAATACTGGACAAGATTTAGTGTACCAGATATAAAAAAATAAAAATTTAGGACATTTTTCAAAATATTTAGAGGATGTAGAGTATGTAAATTGGGATGGTGATAAAATTAATGAATTTGGTGATCGTTTTCACTACCATAAGCAGGGTTAGTTTTTCGGTTTTAATAGTTTAGGGGTGTGGTCTCGGGTGTGGTACACCATTCTGTTGAAGTATGTTATAATTATCAGGTAACAATTTTTTGTTAATTGATTGCTTTTTGTGTGGCATTAAGGATGTATGGTGTAAAATTTTGGATGGTACTAAAAAAAAAAAATTTCTGATAATATTTGATATGAACATATAGTTTGATTTTAAATTTTAGAAGATTTAACAGTTTTGAAGAACGATCAAAATAGAGTACACTTAGGTGAATAAGATATTTTTTTTGTACATTGGTAATATTCTTTTAGATGAAGAGCGACTTTTAAATTCTTCAGAAATTAAAACTGTTACATTTATTTCTTTTTTTTAGGATTCACATCCAATATACCTATTACATAAACGACTAAATTTTCTATTTTACAGCTATAAGAATAACTATTCAGTACTAATCTGGCAACCGTGGGAGTATGGAGTTGATTCCAAGAAATGCGTGTGGTTTCGAATTAAAAACTTTATTAATTTGTCTCCAGAAAGTAAATAACTTTTAACCACATAGGTAGTTTTATATACTTAGAATTTTTATAATTTTCCTTAATTATTTTTTTTTATTTTTCAGGATTGTTCACCATTTAAAACATTCTAATAAATCTCGAACTTGAACAAAGGTATTTAAAAAATTGCATTTAAGAAACAATGAATTCTGAACGCGAACTCGCAATAAATTAATAAGATTCAAAACAATTCGTGCTTGGGTGTGGTGAACCATCCCAAGAATAATAAACAATAACTTAAAAAACCAAAGCAGTTAATTGCATTTTTATTAAACCATCCTTAAAGTTTAAGAAAACATTTCTCAAATTAAAAAAAATAATTACTCAATTGTTAAACATTTTCATATTTTTTTTAACCTGTTCCTAAATTATAAATGTTATGCTTTTATACAGGATCATCTAAATTATGCTTGAAACTCCCAAATTTCCAACTATCCGATTACCTGTACACTTTCTTCCATTGTCTAAGGTATTGCCAGAATAAAATTACATATTGAGGTTTTTTGGCGGTCATTTGGCAACATGTGGTCGTTCCACACGACCTTTACAATGTTAATTACTATAGCAAGTTGCTATTAGAAAATTAAACCTTACAAATGTGTTTTAAATATGTACGCGTATATATACGAACTATAAATATACATATACAGTATAACATACTTACATAGATATTTTTAAACTTGATTGAACATTTCGTTATTTTAACACAAAACTTCATTTTTTAATGTACGAGGTGTGTTCAGAAAATATCGGGAATTTTAGTTTTTTGAAACAAATATTTATTTATTCGTCTACATTAATGTTGTCGCCTTCAAAATAGTCCCCATTGGATATTATGCACATGTGCCAGCTATTCTTCCAATACTCGCACAGAAAAAACGCTAGCATAGCATGAATGAGTGAACCATTAAACCAATGGGATCTTGTAATCCGTGTTCCTGAATAACAGTTCCTATAATACCAATAGGTAGTTAGCACTTGGTTTATAATCGTATATTGTTTTTAAATTAACAACAAAAGTTATCGCTCCTAAATCTATTGATATTCATATTGATATTTATTTGTTAGAATGGTAGAATGTTATTGCATTAAATACTAATTTAATTTATTTAATAACGTTACTAGTATACTAGTATACATTTAACGCAATAAATTCTTTGACATTTAGGCAAAATATTTTCCTATTTTGGTTTAATAGTAATTAATTGAGCAAATAACAATTTAGATTGCTTCAATTTTAATGCATTCAATGACAGCGCTGTTCTTGGTACTATGATAGATTTTTTTCTGTGCGAAACACTTCTAAAACTCGATCTTTGGGATAGCCTTTAGTTCTTTCGGCGATGCGCTTTTAATATCATCTATGCTTGCAAAACGACGGCCCTTTAAGGTTCTCTTTATTTTTGGAAATAGGAAAAAGTCAGACAGAGGCATGTCTGGCGAATATGGAGGCTGGGGCATCATTACAGTATTGTTTTTGGCCAAAAATTTTGTTCAAAATTTAACAACTTTAGAACAAATTTTGCTGCCACGCGTTTCATACCCAAAACATTCGAAACAATTTCATGGGATGAGCCAAGCGATATACCAACATCATCAGCGACTTCTCTGATGGTTTATAACCATTTCTTCCACTTTTTCCATGTTTTTATCGGTTGTTAATGTGCTTTTGCGTTCGGGGCCTTCATCATCTTCAACGTCTTCACGGCCATCTTGGAAACTCTTATACCACTTGTAAACTCTTGTTTTACTTATAGCAGACTCACTATAGGCCTTTGTTTACATTTCACAGAATTAATTTCATTTTTTAAGCAAAATTGGATACAAATTCTTTAATCCATTTCTTTTAACGAACGAAAAATCGCCGAGCTCATAAAACACGTTTAACCTTAGCGGCTGCCACAGACAAAGTAAACAATGAAAACAGCTAACGTTTTTATCATACTTCGGGGGCATGTATACCAACATAATAAAGAAAATTTTATGACAACCGGACCCTCCGAACCCGCGAAATTTAACAATTCCCGTTATTTTCTGAACACACCTCGTATATTCATCACAAGATTTAAGAATTGCCATATATTGTTATAGCAATAAAATTATTATTTTTAAATCGTCTATTAAAACTGCTAAACTAAATTAAAATATTTTTAAAAATTAACAATATTCAAACGTTAAAATTAGAAGTTAATGTAACGTTATGTAACTTATAAAACTAGTTAAATATTTTGTTTATTTAGAGTAAATTTAAACTCTTGAAATAACCTTAATTTATGTATAGGTTAATTAAGGTTATTTCAAATGTCTATAAATATAGCAAATACCTATTTAACTGGTTAGTAATATTACCAATAGGTTTATTTTATTAGTTAAATTCAGGATTCGAAAAAATCATAATTTAAAATAAGAATAAAAAAT